TTTTTGGTGAAATGCTTGTTATTCATTACTAACTATTACAAGTGGCAAATAAAACTATTACAAGTGATTAATGAAGTTATACTACACTTGATTTTTTATGCTAATTATTAAAAATTAAAATACCGTTGTCTGAAGGCCAAAGCTTTTCTTAGTTTGTCAGACTTTGAAGAGGAAAAAACAGGGCATGCTCTCAGTAAGCAGTAAAGACTAAACTAAAGAAGAATTTCCCATAAAATTCTTTCCACTTTTCTTTTTGGATCGTCCCAAAAAATTGTTCCCACATACCATTTTTGGATAATTTGTATGATTCACATTCATTTCACATTTTTCTTACACAACCTTAGATTTCTACTTTATTCCACATTCTTAATCTCCGTGCCAAGTCAAAGTGGGAAGAATTTTATGGGACGGAGGGAGTACTATTTATAACAAAAAACTGTTGAGTTAATAGAAGAGAAAATATTTATAACGTTTCTATTACTTTTAAAAATAGAAAGAAGAGTCTTAAGAAGTTCAAGATATCTCTTCTTGATTGGGCTTGTGATACTTCAGAAACACTACACTTTTTTGTTATATTTCTCTTATTATTTGTCCATTTTTCAAGCTGTACTGTGCTTTACGTTGAAGTGTTGAACACATCTACCAACATCTTCTATTATTTGTTTCTACATTTCAGTTCTCCCAAGAAGTATATATTTTGTATTTCGGGCATCTGAAGAAAGTATAACACCTTGATTCTTTGGAAATTAATAATAATAACAATATTATTAGTAAGTTTCAGTACCATTTTCATTTTTGAATATTATTACAGTAAATACAAAAGATAGATATGTACAGAGTAATTTGTTGAATTCCCACGCCGAAAACGTGTGAAGGAATTAAGTGTTATATTAAGATCTGAGCTACTCCTCCTAACAGGTTGACTTTTTAGGATGGAACCCCGAGTCTTAACATGGTATCAGAGCCAAACCGATCCATGGTGTGGGCCCCCTTATGAAATATGATGACGTGATTATTAAAAAAATGACAATGACGAATCGATGAAAAAATGAATGATGGCACGATCTAGACGAAGTGTCTGGTCGTGAGGAGGGGTGTTGAATTCCCACACCGGAAACATGTGAAGGAATTAAGTGTTATATTAAGATCTGCATTACTCCTCTATCAGGTTGACCTTTTAGGATGGAACCCCGGGTCTTAACAAAACTATTTTAAGTTTTCAAAAAACGAGCATGAGTGGGACTCATGTAGGTTTCTCTCGTTTGTCGAGAGCCAAGTTTTTCTTTTGCTTGTTGGGATCTAGGTTTTTCTCTCGCGTGTCGAGAGCGGTGCAATGCCGCACTTATGCGGATAATTTTTTATTTGACATTTTGATAGAGTGCATGATCAAGAAAGGATAATCATAGCTTCTATAAATTATCTAGAGCAGCGTTGTCCCATCACTGCAAATGAGGAAGAGGTCGAAGGGTTAGTTTTTGGCGGATCAACATGAGAGGGGGGCGGTACATGGCGGTAGTGGAGGCGTCATGGGCGATGAGAATACGGGGAGAGGTGAAGGGTTGAGCAAGGGAGAAGGCATATCGGCGGCCCACCCCTCCTAAACCGCCACCTTGAAGCGATCGAGGCCAGAGTTAGGGTTTGGAAGATTTATCAGTCACTTTATTTTAAGGTCTTTTTTTCGCGTTATATTTTACGTTGCTTGTTTTTTGTTGATAACTTTAGTTTTATGTCTACAATAATGATTAGCGATTCTGCTAAATATCATGTCGTTAGAAGGATTAATATGGTCATTGATTGTTGTATCACACCCGTTTGATTGTTAGCGATTCGTATTGCTCTTTCAAAGACGATTGTTTCTAGGTCTAGTCGTAAAATTAATAGTGCTAATTGGCTACAAATAATTGTTGTTATTCTTGGTCTCTTTGAACTTATCGTAACGATTCGAAATCTAATTATTAATAGAGATATTACCCGAAATAGGACTAAAAGAGTTTGAATATTACAAAACAGGACTGCTATGTTTTTATTCTCAAAATAGGACTTATTACTGTCATGTTTTGGCAGTATCGGACTTCAAACATGGCAGTATTTTCCAAATTTGGCAGTAATTACTCCTATTTTGGGAATAAAAACATAAGAGTCCTATTTTGAAATTTTCAAACTTTTTTAGTCCTATTTCGGGAACTTTCCCATCTAATTACGCCACCCCACCGGCCACCACCACACCTAGTCACCTCCACTCCACTGCCCAAAATAAAGAAAAAGCAAAAAGCTTAATTATACACATGGTCATGGTCTAATCAGATTCTCTCCCCTCCATTCCTTTATATTAAACCATTATTTGGGAAAACATAATTAGTCTAATCGCCTAGTAAGACCAGCAACCGAAAGATGGAATGTTCCATTCCCATTCCAGGTTACCTATTCAAGTAACATACGGAGTACTTGATTTGAGTCGATTATAAATAAGATATATAGACAGTTTAATAATTCTTTAATTTGAGGGCATTATGATGCATGTTGGGATAAAGTGTCAAGTGTGCTAACTTCAATTTTAATTAAAGCTGGGCATAATGATGGTGCACAACAGCGCAAGGATCAGTTGACCAAAGCAAGGTGGGAGTGGGACCCTCACACCATAAAGTGACAAACAACTCCATATACCTGTAGCATTTGTACAATAAACATTGACACATACTACATACGATAGTATGAGAGAGATGTTTAGTAAACATCTTTAATAAGTAAACACCACTTATTAAAACATGTTTTACTAACGTGTTTAATAAGAAGCGTTTAATAAGTATATGTTTACTTCATAAGCACGATTCATTTATTTAAACATGATTTAATATAAAAATTACAATTACAACTTCAAGAACTTTTTCCTTTCTTACTAGTGCTCTCACCCTACCCTGCTAACCACCGCCCCTATCATCATATCCTACCCCAGCTAGCCCCTAACCTCAACACTTGAAAATTGGGGGTCGGATTAGGGGTAAGTGTAGGGGTAGGGTATGGAGTAGACGTGTGAGTCTATGTTTAAAAAACCGACCCGACCCGGCCGGGTTGACCCGGAACCCGGTGACCCGGACAAAAATCCGGTTCGGTTTCTTCAAAACCCGAAAATGGTCAAAAACCGGAAAAACCCGGCTGACCCGAAAAAATCCGATCCGGACCCAACCCAAGAACCCCAAAAAACCCGGGAAAACCCGGTTTTCGGTCTTTTCCAAAAAAAAAGTAATTTCTTTTTTAATTTTAATGCATTTTTTAAACCAATAAAATTGCAATTTCAATTCCCTAAAAAGAAAAACTATGTGATATATTTATATATTTATTTAGGAATGAAAATAATGCCAAATTATAATATAAATGTACAATACAAATAAAAATATATGATGAGAGTGTATATAATTATATGTTTATTATTATTATATAGACGTATAATCGTTGACCGATTTTCCGGCTTTGACCGGGTTGACTTTCCGGGTCCGGGTTGACCCGTGACCTAGTCACATGACCGGGTCGCTCACCGGTCCGGTTTTTACAACATAGGTGTGAGTGAGGTAGACGTAGAGGTTAGGAGAGGTGGGGTCGGGTTATCCGTGAAAGCAAAACGTATATGATTTGGATCCTCTATTGCGAGTGTCTCTACATGCACCATCACTCATAGCTCAAGTTATTCGAGAATTTCAAAACATGTTAAAACAATTTGAAATATAGGGGTCATTATTTATTTGTTAATACTTTCATAAAACATTTTCATTTTTTAATATTTTTACAAAACATAGAAAAAATGCAATCCTCACCCATAAAAAGCATTATATATGTAAAATAATTGACTACCGCCTTGCCGACGGGTCCCAATTTGAAAAGCTATGATAGGAAGGGCAGAGTTAATTGTAAAGAAGGTATAAAGCTACTCCACTGTATTATTCCTTTATTGATTCATGTTCACTTTATAGAATGCACTCAATATTGTCGAAGTTTATGCATGTGCTAAATAACTAGTGTAAGATTTACTTTCAAGATCTTTTGCTTAGATAAGATGGGTATATCTATCCATATGTAATTTCTAAATGTGCAAGCACCATATATAGTCTAGCTTAGGCGTCTAGCTTGCTCGGTACCTAACTCCCATGCCCCGATTGATAAAACCTCCCTTGAGAGGGTGCTATATATCTTAGTGTACACATTTTTCCTATGTTTATATAGATAACTTTTTTTTTCTTTTCATTTTAAGACAAATTACTTGTGCACACGAAAACAAAATAAGAGGTGTACAAATTCCACTATTCAATCTAAACACCTAAACTAATTAAACAGAATGAGACTAGAATATATCAGATTGGAAAAAGTTTTGCCTCCATGAGAGGGTAATTAAGATGATATAACAAACCCAACCTTCAAGCTAGGCTTCAACCCTACAAAAACAAAAAGGTAAAGTATGATGAACTTTTTTAAAAATCAAACCACGCCACCCCACCATCCCCACACCAAGCAAGTCACCTCCACTCCGTTCCCCCATAATAAAGAAAAAGCAAAAAGCATACACATGGTCAAATCAGATTCCCTCCACCCCATTCAATTCCTTTTTTGTTAAAATAAATAAATATACAATCAAACCACCATTTGGTAAATTAAAACCCGCAACAGTAATATGGAATGTTCGGCTCCCATTTAGGGTTACCTATTGAAGTAACATCCTTGATTTGAGCCAATTTTATATAACTAACACAGACAGATTTACTTGTTTGTGGCCGGGCATGCCGCCTACACTTTGTTGGAAAACGTTACACTTTCATAGCATGTTGAGACAAACTCTCAAGTGTGCTAACTTCTATTCTAATTATACCTCAGCATAATGATGGTATACAAGAGAATCTGTTGACCGGCCAAGCCAATATAGGTGGGACCCTCACATAATATACCCTATACTTAGTATTGTATTGATTATCCAAAGACATTACTAATTATATTCTCAAGAAGACAATATCTAACTTTCCAAATTGGATCAAAACACTCAAGGTCATTTGTAAACCTAATCTTTGTATGTGTATGTAGGTATATATGTACTTCGTGTATAGTATGTATAATAGCATGGCTTTATTCTCCAACCTTGAATAATTGATGTTGTGCTTTAACAACTACACATATATTTCTTTTGGAAGAGAACCCTTTAGTAAGTAAATGGATACTTTGTTAAGACTAGTCAGACTTCATCAACCTGAACAGTCCTTCAACTCCAGTAGAACCTCAAGCAGCTCTAGATCCTCCAGCAGACTCTATCAACAACCCCAAGAAGAGGAGGAAGAAGAATGCTTCAACTTTTTCATGGATGAAGATGACGATGGTTTCTCTTCACATTCCTCTTCCAAGCCCCTTAGCCAAAACCCTTGTAACCCCTACCCGTACTCCGCCACCCCTCCTTACACCAATCCCGCCACCCCTACCTTCGACCCGAATCTTGAATTCGGGTCTTCCTTCTTCGCTGGCAACAAGTGGGCTAATGATGTTCTCGTCGAAACAGCACGCGCGTTGTCAGAGAACAACACCGGCCGGTTCCAACACCTGATGTGGATGCTCAACGAGCTCGGCTCCACCTACGGCGACACCGAGCAGAAGCTGGCATCTTACTTCCTCCAGGCCCTTTTCGCCCGCATGACTGGCTCCGGCGAACGGACTTATCGGTCGCTCGTTTCCGCCTCCGACCAGACTTGCTCCTTCGAGTCCACTCGCCGGATGGTCCTCAAGTTTCAAGAAGTCAGTCCCTGGACAACCTTCGGCCACGTGGCGAGCAACGGCGCCATCATGGAGGCCTTCGAGGGCGAACAGAATCTTCATATCATAGACATCAGCAACACGTTTTGCACGCAGTGGCCGACTCTTCTGGAAGCTCTCGCTACTCGAAACGATGATACTCCCCACCTCCGCCTCACGGTGGTGGTTGTGGGCGGAGGTAGGGCGTCGAAGGTGATGAAGGAGATCGGGAGCAGGATGGAGAAGTTTGGTAGACTTATGGGAGTTCCATTCAAATTTAACGCCGTTCATCATACCGGCGACTTGTCGGAGCTCGACTTATCGGCGTTGGACGTTAGAGAAGACGAAGCTCTAGCAATCAACTCCGTCGGGGCTTTACACTCCGTCTCGGCCCCCGGAGGCCGCCGGGACTACCTGATATCTCTCTTTAAGCGGCTGCAGCCGAGGGTTTTCACGGTGGTGGAGGAAGAAGCTGACGTGGAGGTCGGGAACGAAGGGTTCGACTTTTTTAAGGATTTTCAAGAATGTCTAAGGTGGTTTAGGGTTTACTTTGAGACGCTGGACGAGAGCTTCCCCAGGGCGAGCAACGAGCGTTTGATGCTCGAGAGGCAAGCCGGGCGGGCAATCGTTGACCTGGTCGCCTGTCCGCCGTCACAGTCGGTGGAGCGGCGGGAGACGGCGGAGCGGTGGTCGCGTCGCCTCCACGCGGCAGGGTTTAGTACGGTTCCGTACAGCGACGAAGTTTGCGACGACGTGCGTGCACTGTTGAGGAGGTACAGAGAGGGTTGGGGTATGGCGCAGTGCCCGGCGGAATCTTCGGCCGGAATATTCCTGTCGTGGAAGGATCAGCCGGTGGTGTGGGCCAGCGCGTGGAAACCTTGACTGAATGTTGACTACGGTCCCGTGCGTCTCACGTGTGGTATCATTTTTCTTGGCACATGTGCATGCATGGCACCCAGGTGGAGCTTCTGGATTTGTTGGGCGGTAGCTTAGATAAAGAAAGCTATTATGAATTTAATTTAATCATATATAAATTGTGGATTGATTTCAATTAATTGTTGGGGTTAATTAGTTTTGATTTCTTGGCAAAGAGAGCTTTATATTTCAAAGTGATTTGATGTGTTGGAAAAGAAATTTGGTTTCTGGCCGGTTTGCCTTTAAAAAATCTCATTAATCTGTGTGATGTATATCAATACAAAAGTAGTGATTGAGCGATCATGTAACATAATTAGCGTAATAAGAAATTACATTTTTTCTATTTGTAAAAACATTACATTATTTTCATAATTTTGAATGGGAAATTGTTTGATTTTTAATGGTTATTGAAGGCCAGGGATGGGACTATGGGAGTTATAATTAGTTAGATCAGAGAGGGTAGGCTAATTAGCTAAGTATATATCTCACCCCTCATTTTGTTACATAGTTTTGAGGTAAAGATATGAAGGGAAAGTTTTTATAAATTTACCTTTCACTGTTTTTCAAAAAATAAATTACCTTTCACTGTGATAAATCAGCTACTTTGCTTTTTGGCAAATGATAAATCGGCTATTATGATTAACATTATTGAGGACTACATTGATAGCTTGGAGAAATCATTAAAATGTACAAGTCTAATGAACTTATTAGTACGGAGTATTTGTTTGGTATCTCTATACGTATACATCAGTATCTCTACTACGTACCACCTTCGTTCTTAAATAAATGCAACATGTTGAATTTTACACTATTCGCATGCTCTACTTTGACTACGTTTTATTTATTAATGTATTAATATATTTTTTTTGAAAAGAAATATTGTTAAGTTTGTCTCATTATAAATTTTCAAAATATAATTTTTTACTTTTTTTCCTAATAGAAAATTATATATATTAATGATCAAAGTTGTGTCTCGACAAATGTGAAATGTTGATTGTTGCATTTATTTAAGAATGGAGAAAGTATTAGATAACCATATATACCGGTCATTGATGTCTCATAACACCAATCTTAGCCCAGTGATTACGTACTTGTAAATTGTAATGTTATACTTATAACAATATGCAATGCAAATGTGTAATATTTCAATTCACAATCATATTATGTACTTGAATCAGCTTTCTTAGGCCTTAGAATATCTTCAATGCTTAAGTAGTTAAGTGTACAACAATTGGAGAGGGTGTATTGAAATTGTGAGATCAAAGTAATTACACGAGAGAGTCTGTTAACACCCTACTCTAATTTAACATAGCAAGGAGAAGAAGGTGAGACCGAATTGAAGGTCTCAAAGTAGACCTCCTGCTAATTGCTATACATGAGCAAACAAAGTCACACTTTTCTTTTTTGGATGTTTAAAAAACAAAGTCACATTTCCCTTATTTCCTTATTTGGCAAAAAAGTCTACTTCAAAACAGTGCCAAACAATGTCAAACAGTGTCAAACCGTGAATTTCTTTGCGAAACGGAGGGAGTATCTTTTTGTCTAAGAGGAATTAAAGGGGTCTTAAAGCAACTTTCTATTAAAAAAGTGAATGAATAAGAAAACTCTACTACTACATCATATGACTCAGAGTATAAATCCAATGAAGGGTCATGCCATTTAATTTTCTATTTTAAATTTACCGTGAAATATACTCCCCGTCCCGCTATGATTGTCCCATTTTACCTTTGTGATCCGTCCCACTAAGAATGTCTCATACCTTATTTGGTAAAATTTGTGTGGTTCTAAATTATTCTTACTTTATTCTTACTTTATCAATTTAATATCAACCACATAAACTCACTTTTATTAATAACTGTGTCACCTTCTTTTGTCCCAAATTTAGGGAGACAGATGTAGTATATATTTTGTATTCATATTTTATATTTTCAACTTGTGTTTTATTATATGCTCCCTCCGTCCCGGAAAATTCTTTCTAGTTTGACTTGTATTGGAGTTTTAGAAAGTCGGAATAAAGTGAAAATGTATGGTTGTGGTTGAGTAAGAAAAAGATAAATGAATGATAGTCACACAAACCTTTCCAAAAAGGGAAATGAAAAGAATTTTTTGGGACATCTCAAAAATGTTAGTGAGAAGATTTTTTTGGGACCAACGTAGTATATGTATTTTCTATTTTTTCTCTTCATAAATATTTGACAATTTTTAATGATTAAGGGGATAAATTGAACAATTCGGCTGAACTCAAGAGCTTATTTGACCCCTTAGATTGACACTTCAAATGCAGGGCACGTTACCTGATAACGTGACACTGGCTGAACGATTACATGCAAATAGCCAAATTTAAATCTTTTTAGTTCAAGGATGAATTGAGCATCATGAGCATATACATGAGCCTACTTAACCTTTTAGCCTTTTTATTTAACATGTTTAAACAAGTTTCCAGCCCCATGTCACGTCGCAGGCTACGCTCAAATGCAGCACAAAACTGTGTAGGCACCCCAAAATTGTACGCCGTATTAAACAACAAATGAAATTGTGAAATTATACAACAAGCGCATCAAAGCTCTACACTTTAGTAATTTACAACTACTCATAGTACTGTCAGCTAATTTGAACTTCTCATATAAAAGACACTACAATAAATGAACAAGGGAATGATGACATTTAGTGGCACTACTTACTGGCACAACTTCAATGAAGTTATACAAATGAAGAAAGAAAACACCCTACCTTGTCTGTAATTTTTCACTTCTCTTCGTGCCAAGAAGGTAGACGCCACCTTTTATGCCAAAATATAGACACTCGTGACCACAAAGGAAACCCAAAATTGTATTCAAGCGGCTGGTCTACGGGCCCTGAAACAGTTAAAGGCAACCACACATACCTTGAATCCCTCAAGTCAGCCGGATTCCACCGATCCGCCATAAAAATAAAAACGTCAGGCAGCCCGGGCAAGGGAAGCACATACGTGCTTTGAGAGAAGAATGTCGTGAGTTGAAAAATTTTACTCCCGCCGACAACACTCGGGCTCCCAATCGTTTCCCATGGCCCCATTATTGACTCAGCTGCATGGGCTAGAGCCTCGTTTGGGGCCCAACCAGTACACCCAGAGGTGATCATGTAATATGTTCCTTGGTTCTTGAACACAGCGGGAGCTTCCCGGTGCTGCCCTACTAGAATCCTTCTCGCATCGCGCGTCACGTCTAAGTATTGTTCATTAAGAGGGCCCACGTGGAGCTCACTGTTTTCTACAGAGGAGTAAATGAGATAAGCGGTCCCGTCATCATCCTTAAAGACAGTCATGTCTCGGCTATCAAATCCGTGGGGACGAAAGCTATAGAGATAGTCAAAAGGGCCGTTTGGGAAGTCGCTAACGGCGACGCCTACAGAAGCTTTAGTATAGTTTGTGTCGTCTATGTGCATCCACATCACATATTTACCTGTTTTGTCATTGTATATTACTTTTGGCCTCTCTAGAACATTTAATGAGTAGAGATCATGTGTTTCATTTTTCTCTTCTGCTGCTAATACAATGCCTTCATTTTTCCATGTCCACAAGTCACTTGAAGAGTAGCAACCCACTCCAATAACATCAACCTGCAAGGGATATATAAGTCATCAAAAGACACATACACTGGGATGGAAATGTCTGTTTAAAGTATTCCACATCAACAACTTATCCACCATATAAAAGATGGACATCCTAACCTTACTAAAACTAAACTGCCATGTTTTATCATGTGGAGTTACAAAAAGCCTCTATACTTAAAGGGTAAAACATCATAAGTGTTGCACGGTCTAATGAGATCATCAAATCTAGTTCTACTGTTGCGACAAAGTTGCTACTAATCAGCTACTAATCAGATGCTACAACCTACGGACCTATGGTCCTAAACCTCTACTATGGCCGTGTTTGGCGGAGTTCATCTAAACTGTATTGTTTAGTAATTTAAAAGAAATAGAAGTACAACATTAAACTGGTTAATATTATGTACAACTAAGATCTTTTGTTCATCCAGCATTAAAATCCGGTTCCCTATTAACTCTTTTTATACTCTGTATTCTTTTTTACGAAGTATACATCTTCCCCATTTTTATTTTTGATAACTTTTACCTTTATTTTGCATCTTCTCTTTTTCTACTTATTCTTATTCCCATTCATACCTTTTGATCTACTCTCCAACTTTTTATAGGTTTTCCACACTACTCACTACCACAACTTTTTCTCTCTTGAACTCTGTAAAAGCTTTAGGGACAAGTCATATAATATGGAGTGAGTATATACTAATTTATTCAACTAATCAACAAATAACTGTATATGACACTCAACTATCATATTCCACAAAATTTTCAATTGTTTCTTAGGAAGTAATACCAAATGAATCATATATGTTGAAGAAATATAGCTTATTTATGCATCAATTCCTATAACAAAGCATGTTTTTGCTTTCATATTAATGGTGGTTACATGAGGAAGGATCAATTGTCAATACTTTTATTATAGCTTCACTACAATATAGCTAAAATCTCATTAGGAAAGAGTAATGTTATACCATCCTGCAGAATTTTCAATTCAAAGGCAAATATAGCATCAAGCAATGCAACATATATGAAACCAATATCAAAATTAAAGACGTGTAAACAACTGGAAGGACAAACAATCTACAAACAACTGTCCTTTAAACATCATTTACAGAGCAAATAGTCATCATCATCATAATCATTACCCCAGTGCCGCAAAGGCTCCCACCTACGGTAGGGTAAGGTGGGGTCGGATGTACGCAGTCTTACCCCTATACTAGAGATTGTTTCCTGATGACCCATAGTGAAAATCGCGACCAAAATTGCATAGACTGACTGCTGCTTCATAACAAAGAAGCGCAGACAGTTTAGTGAGCCATTTTGCTTTACTGAGCAAATAGTGAGAAAGAAAATAATCTACAAGTTCTGTGTTTCTACCACCACATTAGTAGTAAAAAAGGGTGCCTGCGACTAGATATATTCACAAAGATTGGAAAGGCATGGAGATGAAATTTCAATTTCATCATTGAAAACATACCCGGGCGGCTCCTTTTTTGTGAGCATGGTAGGTAGGGCCATCTTTATATTCTCCGTACCAATAATACTTTTTTGTCTTCTCGTCATGTAGAATTCCACCTCCATGAGCCTGAATCGGGTTCCCTTCAGTGTCCAACCATATCCTCCCCGGGTAATAATAGTGTGTTTCGTTTTCAGAGTCCTTCCTGGGGTCCACAGAATCCCTCGGACCAGGAAAGAAGAAGTTCCTAATCTGTGAAGACTCATCAAGAAACTCATCAA